AGACCCTTCTTCAGAAGAAGGGTCTAGGCCCGAAACGTCAGCCTTCCTGCTCCTCTGATGCTGCTTGGCCTGCTGTGTTCATCCAGCTCTACACCTTGTTATCTCAGATTCTCCAGCATCTGCAGTTCCTACTATCTTTGCTAGAATATTGCCATGTATAGAAGGTTTGAGTTATAAAGAAAGGTTGGAGAGGCTGGTATTTCTTTCACTGGACCGTAGGAGATTGATTGGTGATGCAATAAAGTTTATGAAATAATGTGGGGTATAGATAGAGTTATCTTTTCCCTAGGATGGGGGATTTCAAGACTAGGGGGCAGATTTTCAAGGTGAGAGGAGAGAGATTTAAAAAAGACATGAGGGGCAAGTTTTTTACACAAACAGTGGTTCATGTGTGGAATAAGCTTCCTGAGGAAGTGGTGGATGTGGGTACAATTACAATGTTCAAAAGACATTTAGATAAGTACAGGAATAGGAGGGATATGGGCCAGGAGCAGGCAGGTCGGACTAGTTTAATTTGGGATTATGTTCGCCATGGACTGGTTGGACCGAAGGGTCTGTTTCCATGCTGAATGACTCTATAACTCTGAGAGAGATGTTTCTTTTCATCTCTGTCCTGAAGGGAATACCCCTAATTTTAAGACCAGTGGCTGCTAGTTCTAAACTAACCTACAGAGGAAACATCCTTTCTTTGTCCAACTTGTCAAGACCATTCAAGATCTTATACAATTCAGTCAAGACATGGACGAGTTGGATTGAATGATTTGTTTCCATTCTGTGTGACTTTATGACTCTAAGTCACACCTGGCTCTTCTCAGCTCAAGCGGAGAAAGGTCCAGTCTGTCTAATCTATGTGTGAAACCACAAGTGATGGGTGAGATACTAAACTAGTATTTCACATCAGTATTTACTGAGGAGAAAGAAATGGAATGTAGAGAACTTGAAGAAATAAATAGTGATATCTTGAAAAGTGTCCATATTACAGTGGAGGAGGTGCTGGACGTCTTAAAATGCATGAAGGTGGATAAATCCCTGGGACCTGATCAGGTGTATCCCAGAACTTTATGGAAGCTAGGGACAAAATTGCTGAGATATTTGTATCATCGGTAAACATTGGTTAGGTGCCAGAAGACTGGGTGTGGTGCCATTATTTAAGAAAGGTGGTAAGGAAAAGCCAGAGAAATTAGACCGGTGAGCCTGACGTCAATGGTTGGTGAATTGTTGGAGGGGATTCTGAGGACAGGATTTACATGTATTTAGAAAGGTAAGGACTGATTTGGGATATTCAACGTGGCTTTGTGCGTGGGAAATTGTGTCTCACTAACTTGGTTAAGCTTTTTGAAGCAGTGACAAAGAAGTTTGAAGAAGGCAGAGTGGTGGTTGTTGTCCATGTGGACTTTAGCAAGGTATTCGACAAGCTTCTGTGTGGTAGACTGGTAAGCAAGGTTAGATCACATGGAATCCAGGGAGAGCTATCCATTTGGGTACAAAATTGGCTTGAAGGTAGGAGACAGAGGGTGATGGTGGAGGGTTGCTCTTCTGATAGAAGGCCTGTTAATTGTGGTGTGCCGCAAGGATCGGTGAAGGGTTCACTGCTTTGTGTCATTTATATAAATGATTTGAATGTGAATATGGGAGGTGTAGTTTGTATGTTTGCAGATGACACCAAAACTGGTGGTGTAGTGGACTATGAAGGACATTATCTCAGAGTACAATGGGACCATGATCAGATGGGTTGAGGAGTGGTTGATGGAGCTTAATCTAGATCAGTGTGAAGTATTGCATTTTTGGTAAGGCAGTCGGGGCAGGACTTGTACACATAATGGTAGAGTCCTGGGGCGTGTCACTGAACAAGAATCCTTTGGGTGCAGGTTCATAGTTCCTTAAAAATGGAGTCACAGGTAGAAAGGGTAATGAAAAAAGTATTTGGTACACTTGCCTTTATTGGTCAGTGCATTGAGTATAGTTGTGGCTCTACAGGATATTGGTTAGGCCACTTTTGGAGTACTGCAAGCAATTCTGGTTTCTCTGCTATAGGAAAGATATTGTTAAACTTGAAAGGGTTCAGAAAAGATTTATGAGAATGTTGCTCGGGTTAGAGGGTTTGAGCTACAGGGAGAGGCTGAATAAGCTGGGCCTATCTTCCCTGGAGCATCGGAGGCTGAGGGGTAAACTTAGAGGTTTATAAAATCATGACGGGCAACAATAAGGTGAGTAGCCAAAGTCATTTTTCCCCAACTCTGTGCCTCTATGACTCTGTTAACATAAGAGAGCTGCTCGTTCAGCATCCTGTTTTGAATCATGAATGACAAATATAACAGAGCAACAGCTCCCATTTGCTTTGTGTTGACAGTCAGGTTGCCAGTAAATTACAAAAGTTACATTTCCTGTGTACAAATTGGCTAAGAGTTCTATGTACAGCTGGGTTGCTGGTTCTGTATCGTCTGCACAAGTTAGCTCTGATTCCTATCTGTAAAGCATATCCTGGGTCCTGCGTGCAGGCTGATTTTAGGCCCTGTGTGAAAAGTTCACTGGACATTTTTCTTGATGCTTGTCACATTTCTCAAGAATGTTCTGACATGCATTCAGTACTTGTGTAAATGGAGGTATATTTCATGCTGCCAACACTTTCGTCAATCACTTTCGTGATTCATATTTCACATTTTATCCACAGCGTTTCACTGTCGTTCAAATCATCTATGTCGGTGGGTGCACAGACGCAGTGTTGAATTGGTTCTTGGGACACTATGCAGCCATGGCTGCCATCCTATTTGGTATAATAGCACCACAGGTAACATTTGCTTTAATATAGGCTTATTTCATGATAAAGCAAAGGATTATCAGGTCTTTCTGAATTTTGCTTGTCCTTACTAGGCTTGGTGCTTATTCTCTGTGGATACGTATGTAACCCCAACTCCCATGCAGACTCATTTGCTTTAATCCATAAGGGAATGAGCCACTTGTGTTTGCCTCTTACTACCATTCAGCACAAGAAGCAGCTGACTGTTTTTTAATGTTGAAGCAAAGGGTTATTAGCTTGTTAATGTACAAAATAAATCCTGATATGCATGTCATCCTCTTTCTATACAGTGATAAAATGGCTATAACACAGAAAAGGTCATTCGATCCATCGTATCTGTGCTGGCTCTCTGAACAAGCAGGTTACTTAATGCCAATCCCCACCTATGCCCCATAGCCCTGCAAACATTTTCCTTTTCCTGTAATGATCTGATTCTTTCTTGAATTCCATGATTGAACTTGCCTCCATCTCATGCTCAGACAAGCATCCAAGTTACAAACTACCCATGAAAACGATTTTTCCTCATTTTACCCTTTTCTCAGTTACCTTAAATCTATGCCATTTCCTTCTTGATTCCTTGATGAGTGGGAACAGTTGTTCTCTCTTTACTCTATTCAGACCCTTGAATGCCTGTACCAAATCTCCTCTCAATCTTCTCTACAAAGAACAGTCCTCATCTCTGCCAACTACCTGCATGGTTATTCCTGTGAATTTTCATTTCGTCTTCTATAACATGGAATACACTACAGAATTCCATGCTCTGGCTGAGGATGATCTGTTGTTTTAAACAGGCTTGTTGGAACTTGGTTTCTTTTTGTATTCATTCCCCTTCTGATAAAGTCCGTGGTGCTGATGTTTAAGCACTTCAATCAGATTCCCTCTCATCCCTCTAAACTCAAGTGAGTATGGGCCGAATTGAACCAATCTGTCCTCATAGGAGTGCCCTGTCATCCCTGATATCAACCGAGTGAACCTCCACTGTATGTCCTCTATGGCAAGAATATCCCTTCTTGGGTAGGGAGACCAAAATTGCAATACATCAGGTGTGGTTTCACCAAGGTCCAGTATAGCTGCAGTAAGACATCCTTCCTATAGAAGGGTGTTAAACTTGAGAAGGTGCAGAAAAGATTTACAAGGATGTTGCCGGGACTGGAGCGTTGAGTTATAGGGAGAGACTGAATACGCAGGGGATTTTTTCCCTGGAGGGTTGGATGCTCAGTGGTGACCTTATAAGAGGCTTATAAAATCTTGAGAGGCATGGATAAGGTGAGTAGCCAAGGTCTTTTTCCTAGGCTGGGGGAGTCCAAAACTAGAGGCCATAGGTTTAAGGTGAGAAGGGAAAGATTTATAAAGGACCTAAGGGATAACTTTTTCATGCAGAGGGCAGTGCGTGTATGGAATGAGCTGCCAGAGGAAGTGGTTGAAGCGGGTATAATTACAACATTTAAAAGGCATCTGATGGGTATATGAATAGGAAGGGTTTAGGGGGATATGGGCCAAATGCTGGCAAGTGGCACTAAGTCAGATTGGATTATCTGGTCAGCGCGGATCAGTTGGACTGAAAGGTCTGTTTCTGTTCTTTACGAATCTTACTTCTGAACTAAAATTCTGTTGTAGTGAAGGTCAATATTCCAATTGCCTTCCTAATTGATTGCTGTGCCTGCCTGTTTACCTTCATTGTGTACACGGACACCCAGATCCCTTTGTTACATCCACATTTCTCAACATTTAAATAATGCTCTTCCTTTCTGTTTTTCACACCAAAATTGTATAATTTAACATTTTGCCACATTGAACTGCATCTGCCATGTTTGCCCACTTACTCAACTTGTCTAAATCACCTTGAAGCTTCCTTGCATCTTTCACACAACTCTCAATCCTCTTCAGGTTTGTGTCAACAACAAGCTTGCAAATTTTGTATTTGGTGTTCTGATCCAGGTACAGTAATTTAAGTATAAATTTAATTTAAATTTAAAGGGATTCTATGATTCAATGTATTGTAGTGAATAGCTGAGGCCCAAGCACTGATCCTTGCAGTACTCCACTTGTCACAGCCTGCCTCTCTGAAAAAGACCCATGTATTCCCACCCACTGTTTCCTATCTGTCAAAACTCTTGATCCATGCCAATATATTACCCCCTATTCCATGTGCTTTAACTTTGCACATTAACCTTAGCAAAAGCCTTCTGGAAATCACCACGTCTGCTTAGGTTTTCCCCTAATTATTCTCCTCATTACATCTCAAAAAAAGCGCTAGTATATTTGTTGAGCATAAACCCATGCTGGTGTTGTCTAATCCCTTTAATGCTTTTCAAATGTTCTGTCTTTTATAATAGACTATCATTTTTACATTATTCATGTTAGGCTAACTGGTCTGTAATTCTCTTTATTGTTTCGCTCCCTTTTTAAATAGTGAGGTTACACTTGCCAGTCTCTGATATTTAGAAACTGCTCTAGAGTCTATAGAAGTTTGGAAGATTACCACCTATGTATCCAGTATTTCCAAGGACATACCCTTACTACTTTGGGATGTAGATTATCAGAGCCTGGCGATTTAAAAGGTCCCCTCAGAAAATTGACTGTAACATGATAGAATTTAGCATTCAGTTTGAGAGAGAGGAACTTAGGTCAGAAACAACTAAGCTTAAATAAAGATAAATTGGGCAAAGCTGGCTGGAGTGGACTGAGAAGGAGTGTAGCAGCAAAGATGATTGAGGAACAGTGGCAGACTTTCAAGAAAATAGCTCATGGCTCATGGCAAAGACATATGCCAGTGAGGCAGAAGGATCTGTAAAGTGGATAAGCCAATCATGGTTAAAGATAGAAGAAAAACATACAATGTGGCAAAAATTAGTCATAAACCTGAGAATTGGGAAATTTTTAAAATGAGCCAAAGACAACCAACAAAATAATAGAGAAAGTTAAGAAACTATGAGTGTAAACTTGCAGATAATATCAAGATGGACAGAAATAGCTTCATAAATGTATGAAAAGGAAAAGAGAGGCCAAAATGAACATCGACCCCATAGAGAACAAGGCTAGGGAAATAATAATGGCAAACCAGGAATTGACAGAGGGCTTGAATAAGTACATTGCATTAGTCTTCATAGTTGATGTCATTCCAAAGTTACTAAATATCCAAGGGGTGAAAGGAAGAGAGAAAATAAATACAACAACTGTCAATGAGAAAAAAGTGCAAGGGAAATTATTGGGGCTAAAGACTGATAAGGCCCATGGACCTAATGAGATGTATCCGAGGATACGAAAAGAAGTAGCTACAGAGATAGCAGAGGCACTGGTAGTCATCTTTCAGGAATTCTTAGATTCTGGAAAATTCCCAGAAGTTTGGAAAACTGCCGACGTAACACTGCCATTTAAATAGTGAAGGGACCAACAAAGAGGTAACTATAGATTGTTAGCTTAATGTCTATTATTAGGAAAATGGTTGAGTCTATTATAAAGAAAGTAATAGCAGAGCTAATACAAATATGTAAAATGATCGAACAGAGCTTCGTGAAGGAGAAATCATGCCTGACAAATTTACTTGAATTCCTTCAGGAGGTAACAATCAAGATAGATAAAGGGGAAGCAGTGGATATAATATATTTGAACTCTCAGAAGGCATTGATAATACTCATTAAATGAAAATGTTACCCCACCTCCTTTTCTTTGTCTGTCCTTCCTAAATAATGAATACCCCGGGATAACAAGGTGTAGAGCTGGATGAACACCGCAGGCCAAGCAGCATCAGCGGAGCAGGAAAGTTGACGTTTCGGGCCTAGACCCTCCTTCAGAAAATGCAGATTCTCCAGCATCTGCAGTTCCTACTATCTCTGAAACAATACCCCTGGATATTTAGTTCACTTCATTGGTAGCCCTGCAGCCCTGCCTCTCTAATTGCAATTATATCATAACATTTACACTGCTAATTCATTTACCTTTTTACAAATGTTTTCTTAGACTTGTCTTTTTAACTTGTTAGTCATCTTAGCTTTACTTTGCACTTTGGCACCATTTTTTACCATTGATTTTTCTGCCTTCCACTTTTGCTTCTTTCTTTTCTGTCTTTTGTTTTTGTTACTATTCTTCCTCCTCTGTCTCCTTGCTCTGGTTCCCAACTCCTGCCAATGTATTTTAAACACTCCCTGTCTGCAGTAATTATCACACATTAATCCTGAGATTGCTACTTTTCAATATACATTCTAACTCTCTCTTCTGTTTGTAGGATCTCATCCCTTTTTTCACAAACTGATTTTGTTGGTAGCGATATATGCCACGACCTCTAGCTGTTCATCCTCTACTTTCAAAAATTCTCTGCAGCTATTCCAACCATCCATGATAATCCCCACTTCTGACCGTATAATGGAGGGAGGGTCATTGATGAAGCAGCTGAAGATAGTTGGGCCTTGGACGCAACCCTGAGGAACTTCTGCAGTGATGTCTTGGACTGACATGACCGCTTTCCAATAACCACAACCCAGCAGATTCTCATTTACTCTAGTTTTTCTAGATCTCCTTGATGCCAGATGCAGTTAAGTGATGTCAAGGGTGTTCTGTCTCTCATCACATTTGGAGTTCAACTCATTTCTCCATGTTGTAGCCTTTATCCAAACAAGTTCAGGAGTTAAGTTGAACCTAAACTGAGCATTAGTGAGCAGGTTATTCCTTTGCAAGTATGCTGCTTGATAGCACTGTTGGTGATCCTTTTCACCATTTTATTGATAATCGAGGGTAGACTGATGGGACGGCGTTTGGCTGGTTTGAATGTGTCCTGCTTTGTCTTGTGCAAAGGACGTGCCTGGGCAATTTTCCACATTGTTGGGTGGATGCTAGGAATTTAGCTGTAGGTGAATGATTTGCATAGGGGGCATGGCTAGTTCAGAAATGCAGGTCTTCAGTATTATTGTTAAGACTATCAGAGCCCATTGCCTTAGTGATATCCAGTGCGATCAGCTGTTTCTCGCTATCACAAGGCTATTATCTGTGATTCT